TTGAAGGATGAAACATTAACTATAGTCAATGATTCTGAATCTTTTATCGCCCTGACCACCTGATCACTCCGGAAAATATATTTTATGCTCTTGCACCATTTAAGCAGTTTTGGCGAGTCCTCTATGACTTACATGTATTCACCATAGAGTTCCTTGCAAGACTCAGGAACTGTAAATGGAAGAACAGAAAATAAGGACTGGTTTGTTTCAGAGCAATTGAAGCCATACGCATTTTATGAAAAAACTTTCCTTTCAAATTGACTCACTTTTAGATTAATAATATAACAAAATTTAAGACAAACTGAAACAAAATAACTATGTGAAAAGCAGTTCAATATGAACTTGCACAGAAAAAGGAAACTAGAACAGTCAGTCAATAATCAAAGATATCTTATTTAATATACTTCAATTGTATTATTGTTTTACACTCTTCAAAGAGGTAGTATATATCTATCAAGTTATAAGTTCTGGAAAGAGTTGGAAATTCTTGTCATTGTCAGCACCCGAAATTAAGATAGGGATAGAATGCATAGCTATCTTTAATTGAATAACAAATGTCAAATCAATAAACTCGGAAGAAAACGCAGACATGAGAGGTAATAGTACTCATCGTTGGACGCTGCTGTGTCTATTAAAAAACTAATCCTAGATACCATCTACCTTTTACACAGCTTTCAACTCCGGAGAAACCTTCCGCACAAAGGCATTCAAATGTGTCATATTTGTAGTTCGCCACACAGGTGCCTCCGTTCTGACAAGGCGACGAAGAACACGGTGACTGTAGAAAGATGAACAATTAGTTTGTCAATAAAAAAGCGACATAAATTATAGGTTTTTTTCATTATCGTTATCGTTTTCTGTTCCACACGAAGTCGTTGTTACGAGAAGAATAAAAAACCAAACCAATAATAAAAATCTGAAAAAACACCATCACTGATTAGTTAATATACATACCTTAATGGAAAAGTGATGTGAACTCTGTTTTCCCTCGTACTCTGTGGAGTTTCTGTATTTATCAGA